TGTCGAAACCGAGAAATCACATGCCGGAAAAGTTTTACTTAGGTATTTATCATTAAAAGAATACTTTGTATAATTCTCTTTTATGTTATTTCTCATTAGATCATGGTACGAGAGGAACAAATACATTTTTCCAGTGAGTAGATGGTAACCTTTTGATCCAACGAAAAGTTACGACAAGTATACAGTGTCGGATAAAAATAGGAAGAAAGATAAAATTTGATAAACTTAGATTCAACGAATTGTCCAATTTCGTTTAAAGGATTCAGATTCAAAGGACTGTAAACATTATAACCAAATAAATATCTTTGTTTCATCGTACAATTGATTCAAAAAAACTTGGCGCTCCTTTTTGACTCTTGCTGCATACTTCCCTAAATTGCTTTTTTAATCAATCAAAAATGTAGTGCTTTATTAAATTCAATCAAATTTTTAGTACTTTATTAAATTTCAAGGTCTAGCAGCGCCAAGTTTTTTTACAAAAAAAATTTATTTATTTTATTTTAATTAAATATTTTTATTTTGTACTGTTATCTCTTTAATTCTTTGTGATTAAAATAATTTTTTTGTAATATTATAATTATGTTAAAAAGAAAGCTTGGGTTGGAACGAGAAGACCCTTGAATGGGAATACAAAGATACGTACTACTTGACTTTTATTTTTTAAAAATAGCACAACAATTATTTTTCAAAGTATATATATTCTCTTTGCAATTGGCGCAATTTAAAGATTTCACATCTTTTTTGAAATACGTATTACTAGAATTTTCCGAGGAATGCTTTTACATTAATCTACCGATTTATTGCTTTAGTTAAAACCGGTTTAATTTTATTAATTTTTCGAGAATGGGTTTAATTGCCACGATGTGTATTATTTTTTGATAATAATTTATTTTTTTTTTTAAATCGGTTTAAAAATTTAATTAACTTTTGAGGATATAAAGGATTTTTTGCAAATAAATATAAAGGATTCTTTGCAATTGCCTGATAAGTCATTGCCTGATAAAGGCATTTTTTTACTTAGAATATTGAAACACAAATGAAGTCGTTTGAAGAAAAACAACTCTCGGGCGAAGCCCGGGTAACCAGCTAGTATAAAATATAAAGAGAGAGAGCATAGAGAGACTTTATATATTTTAATATATTGAAAATAATTTACTTATAATTAGATTGGTTAGTGTTCATAAAAAATTCAACTTGAACAGATTCTATTTATTTTACCAATAACTAATTAAGAATAATGTTATCTACTTATGGTTAATATCAAAAGTAAGATTTCAGGAAAATGCTCTGAAAAAAGTAGACTATTATATGCATGATATTTATTGTTAGAACAATACATTGGTTCTAATTTAGCTGATAACTATATAGAAATACTAGGAAATAGATAATTATTTTATACATAGAGAATATTGCAGTAAAATAAAAATGATCAATATAGTTGCACTGATACTTTTGACAAATATTTCTTTATGCGTTTTCTCCTTCATTCGTTCCTTCATTCTGTCCTTCATTCGTTCCTTCATTCGTTCCTTCATTCGTTCCTATATTCGTTCCTTCATTCGTTCCTTCATTCGTTCCTTCATTTGTTCCTTCATTCTGTCCTTCATTCGTTCCTATATTCGTTCCTTCATTCGTTCCTTCATTCGTTCCTTCATTCGTACCTTCATTCCTTCCTTCATTCCTTCCTTCATTCCTTCCTTCATTCCTTCCTTCATTCCTTCCTTCATTCCTTCCTTCATTCCTTCCTTCATTCCTTCTTTCATTCCTTCCTTCATTCGTTCCTATATTCGTTCCTACATTTGTTCCTTCATTCGTTCCTTCATTTGTTCCTTCATTCGATCCTATATTCGTTCCTATATTTGTTCCTTCATTTGTTCCTTCATTCGTTCCTTCATTCGTTCCTTCATTTGTTCCTTCATTCAAATCCACTAAACCGCTCTCTAAGTAACATTCTACTACAGCTAGGCTTTTTTGGACGTTAGATGCTGAGTCTAATAGATTCGCTATAATTAAAAAGAAAACAGAAAATTATTTTACTTTGATTCAAAATTTTATATA